CGCGCCCCGGCCCCCACTGCTGGCCGCATGCGCTGCGTCATCTGCCACCGCGGGTTCAACTCCCGCAGCAACCTGCGCTCCCACATGCGGATCCACACCCTGGACAAACCGTTCGTGTGCCGCTTCTGCAACCGCCGCTTCAGTCAGTCCTCCACGCTGCGGAACCACGTGCGCCTGCACACGGGCGAGCGGCCGTACAAGTGCCACGTCTGTCAGAGCGCGTACTCCCAGCTGGCGGGGCTCCGGGCGCACCAGAAGAGCGCGCGGCACAAACCCGTGACAACCGGCGGAGAAGTGTCCTCGCAGGTGTCCCCCCAAACTCCGGCTCATCCTCCTCCTCCTCCTCCTCCTCCTCCACAGATCACGGCCATGGCCCATCCGCACCACATGCCCCTGGTGCACCACATACCCACCATGGTGCTTTGATAGCAGCAGAGAGACAGTGACGCAACACAACCATGCACTTTAGGTTGAAGCCCAACCGTTAGGGCTCCAACGGTCATTCAGTTTTCCCTTTTTAAATCATTAACAATACAAATTAAAATACAATATTCAATTATTATTAAACGTAATGAACTCACACAAGATTGTACTTTAAACTTTTTTTTTTTTACGTGCAACTTTATTAATCGCGAAAGGCTTTTAATTTGAAATACCGGAAGTAAGGCAACTTCAGTCGGACCCGTTTTACTGCCGTACTGATTTGTTTAGATACAAACAGTAAATTATTTTTTAATACATAACTTGTCGCCTTTCGGCCTAGTTTTGTGATTCGACACTTAAATATAAAAAAGCAACAGTTTATACGTCATCTCATTCATTCAGGAAAATCGAATGACCGGAAATACAGGGATTGTTGTCAACGGTTAGCCGAAATGTAAGTGTACGTTTTATACCTCTGTGTCTATCACATGATCAAAATTCAAACAGAAAATGATGTTTAAATGGCTGCATTTTTGTAGAAGGTAAATCGTATTTTCATATATATTGAACGCAGACGTAGAAAACACCAGTGCAAAATGTCAGATACGTCTTTAACATGTGTTTTCATCCGTGTTTATCCCACAATAACACACACTCACTCAACAGTCACTTTAACATTGTACAGGATTCAAAGAACTGTGTCAATATAAAAAATGTATTGTATGCTAATGTACATGTGAATGTAAATACGTTTGTGCTTTTCTCACATTCTAAATAAATGATACGACGAAATGAATCGATTTGAGACAGTTGATCACCCAACATCCTACAGAAAACAACGATGATTTCCTGATGGAACTATGAGTTAATTTTCAATTATAAACTGAAAACAAATGTCATGGCTTCTATGTAACTACCAGTGTTTTCCTACAGTAAACTAGTACAGTGTACTAGTACAGGAAACATATATATAATTCTAGATCTTTAAATCAAAGAGTACTGATTCAGACCTCAGGTTAAAATCCAAACAACTAAACTCAGACTGAATCCAACTTTTTTTTCTCTAAACTTTTATCATCTAAAGACCTTTTTGACCTGACATAGAGTCAATTACAAGTTGTGCATAGTTAATTCAACGTCTGATTGAAACCACGGAGACCTGACCTCAGGTCAGTCACCTAATATCTTCTCCTGGTGAACACCTGTAAGATTTCACTAGATGCTAAACTGTTGGCTACCTTTTAGCAAACAATTACATAAACCTTGTGATATCTTTACTTGATGCCTATGAAGCTTTTATCCATCAATATTTTCTATATTTTAATTACACTACCGCAACTTCTATCTAATAAGTAACCTAGTAACACCTGTCTAATATTGGATATCATATTAGCTGAAAAAAACGTGACAAACCTGGTAAAAGCCATGTTAGCTCTCGCTGCAACAGAGAAAACCAGAGTTGGCCATTTTACTATCGTAATTTAGATTTATATTCCAGGTGTATTTTCCCAATCCCCCAAATTGCACTATTTTTGAAAATTAGTTTTCGACGGCTATGCTCTCCTTCCACACGATGGCGCCAGATCCACACAAAAAGATTACATGTGCTTTTCAAAAAAAATGTGATCATGACATGGACACAAAAAGGTTTCAGAAACAACTTAAAAGGTTTTTTTTGTTTGTTTTTTGTTTTTTACTTTTTCTCCTTTAAGTTAAAGTTTACACTCGGCATGTTATATTGTGAGACACTCGGCAGTTGTTAGCTACATCAGACGTTATCTGTCCTCCCAAAGAGAGGTTTCCAGATGAGTCTTCATTGGAACAACTGCAGATGTGGTTCAGTGAAGAATCGATGGACGCCATCTTTTTAGTCCACACTTGAGCTGTGACGAGTTAGGATTTGTTTGGAATGGAAGTCGTCCCTTCACAGGTCCATACTGTGGGCTGACACGGTCCAAACTGTGGCCTGAAAACGGTGCACACGTTTGGCCCTGCAGGGTAATAGAAAAGGACGATTGGTGATTTCGAAGAGCTTTGAATGTTTATCCTTCTCAGTGAGAAGCATCTTTACCCTTGTTGCCACATCCTGTTGACACACTGCTTGTCCCTGAGGAGCCGCAACAAGATGCTATCCATTTAATTGCTTTCCACAGGGCTGCAGACAGAAGTTGGGAAATAGCATGTCATTGATCATGCTGTGTCATCGTCAACAGTTCTGCATGTCTATATGGCAGAACAACTAGTTTTGGCCCCTACTGAACCCTTAAGATTTACATCTGTTAAAGTCTGTGTTGAACAAACATATTATATATATGTATATATAAATATATATACATATATATATAACATCCATTCACACTAACAAACCCATCAGTTACCACCGGGCATTGAACAGTTGATCTCCTTGCTGTAAGGCAAGAGCACCAACCGCTGCTCCCCCGCGTATGACTCCAGTTTCCTAATTAACAGTCATAAAACGTAGCCCATGGCACAGACTGCGGCAGGTGTTTGTGGCCTGTCTTGTTTACTGGGCCGAAATCTATTTTTACCTGTGTTTGTAGGACTGTGCGTCATTTGTCCTGGGCCTCCTGGTTACCCTGGGATCAACGTCATGACAGTGACTCATACAGTATAACCACACACTCTGGAAAAACTGAGCCAACCCTCTCGCATCTGAGCAGGTAACGTCGTGGGTAACCAGACCCCACCCTTATCAGGTGTAACACATAACGGTATGCATTGTTGTTGTTTGATGGTTAAACAGACATATGCTGCAGTGCATGCACATGTGAAAAGATTTAAAGAATTATCAATTAAATATATTTCTGTTTAATGTGGGTCATGAACCATGCACAAGTTGAAATGACTTTTACCATCAATGCAAAAGTTTGTTTCCTGTTATTTTAAATTAACACTTACCCACATTGAATACATTTCTACACAGAATACTTGGAAAAATGTATGCATTAAAAATTGTATTTAAAATAGCTCTTACTGTATGTTTTAATAATGAATTCGTTAAAAAAAAGGATGATATACTTACGACAAAATAACAGTCACAACATGGTTCCACTCTATTTCATCCACAGACGGTCCTTAGGTCCAGTTCAGCTGTTCTGGGTGTTTAGAAAACCCACTCAGTGTTGTCAGCAGTGACCAGTTATAATATGTAGGTGAGCAGTTTCTCTGTGTGTGTCCACTGACTGACACTCAGTGCTATAGGATTACTGTCTGTCTGCCTGTGTGGGTGCTCCATTAATTCTCCAGGGTTGTACTTCACCATGACTACAGTAAACAAAGACGGTGCTCAGGGCTCTCAGTGGAAACACACAGCTCATTTATGAGAGCATTGGCTGTGTTTAACACATGCAACAGGGTGTTTGGTGTAATACTTTTAATTATATTTGGTTTATGCTGCTGTGATCTCCATACTAGCTTAAATTTATGCAGATTTCTTTAATGTCCACAGGTTTATTGGCAGCGTATATTCTGCAAACACACCATTTAGATTTAAATTGCAATTTCAATGAGTTAATAAAGTAAAGTACACTTAGCCCCATTAATACATTGCTTTATTAGTAGGATCATTTAAAAAAGATATTAAATACAAATACAACTACTTTCCCTCATAAACCGAGCCTGTTTCTCAACTACTGTGTTTTACTTTTAGGAATTAAGACACATGTTGATCATTGAAGGTCAAATGAGTATAAATTAAATAATATATATAAATAAAATATTTTATTCATACAGTTCATACAGTTGCTAGAAAGAGTTAAAAAACACAATATAACGGAACGAAAACAAATTGTATTGATCCTTTTTATTCTTTCTTACACTGTATCTGTAAGTGAATTGCAGGTGTTCGATTGAGGTGGACCGTTTGCATCGATGACTCTTTTATCTGTTGGTCGAGTCTGGCAGAGATTGTTGTCAATACACTCGGGCTAGCCGTTAGCGCTTTGCTAGACGCTTGGATTTTCTGCGCCAGCGTACTTTGGTCCAGCAGGTGAATTTCGCTTATTGTCAACAACTAATATATAAACAGTTAGATGAAAACATACAAGTTTATCACCGACCTATGAACCGATCGAGTGTAGTGTCGAAATTAAGTCGTAAAGCCGAGGTAAAAGTTGACTACAAATGCCAAGCTAGCGGTGAGTTAAGTATTAGCTCTGACAACTCTCTTGTTTGTGCAGCTGTTTACCGTCTGATTTATGTGACAACACACACCAACGTCAACGTAACATCACCGTCTCCGATCTTTATTATTTATGCACAGTGGTTGTTTATAAATAGTTGTTTGTTATCGCTTCCTACGTTCGATTAAAATTGTCGATTTTGACCAATATTCACGCGGAAATTTAATCCAGCGGAGAAAAGTATGACCACAGAGACGATAATACCGTGCTATATGTATACAGAGGAGTAAATATTATCGGTGCATTGTTGGGTTGACACCAATGTTATAAATGAGGAAATGTTATGTTAACGTGCCTCGGTTTCAGATGAGTTTACGCACTGTTTACGTTTGAATTCTGTGCCGGCGTTCTCTTTTGTGCTGTGTGGACATTGGAACGTAGCAGTGAGAAAACCCAGTCACAGATTTTCTCTCTTGTGTTGTTTATTCATATGCATTTGTAGGACTCTACAATCCTGGCTTTATAAATGAATTATTCAACCGTTATTTCACTGTGATTCACATCTTTAAAGTTGAGTGTCGCGGTCTTCCTGAGCTGAGTTGCACGGATTAGATTTTGAACAAGAACTTTGGTTATGCACTGTTCGAGATTCATTTAAAAAAAATAGTTTAGGGACGACAAGGGTACTTGTCCTTCCTGATGTAGACCCCCCTTATAGGGTCAGTGTTTGGGGCAGTAGATAGAATAAAACCTCTGTGTATTTGAGTGTCTGCTGTTTGTGTTGTCAACATAACTGTGCATCAGTCCGTCTCGTTATTGGCTAGTAACGGCGTTTCATGATTACACAATCTCGCATTAATGTTTTAATATAAACTTGTTGCATTATTCCCACGTACGATGTTAAAATTTGCCCACTAGTTGGTGAGCGGAGTAGGTAAATTACATCGTCACGAGGCACTCAACGCGAGAACAGCTTTGTTTACATTTGTCGGTAATTAACGTTAGTATCCTGACAGTCGTCGTAGGTCGCTAAGATGTTGTTAAGTTGAGGTTTCACAGCTCAGTAATGGTTGGAAATACAGTGATAAACGTGTGCTACGTTCTTGAAGCTAGTGGAAACATGAAGTGTGTGTGTGTGTGTGTGTGTTGTACACAGCCGCCGTATGGATTGGGGCCCAGTTCTGCCAGACAGCCTGGTGTTGGAGATTTTCCTGCGTCTGCCACACGAGGCAGTGCTGAGAGCTGGTCTGACCTGCAGACAGTGGCTAGCTGTTTCCAGAGATGAGTTCCTGTGGAGGGAGTTGTTCTACAACTACTATCGCATCCCGCGCTGTGTTCCCCGACACCCAGGTACATTATCGCCTCTGGGGACTTCACAAGTTGAAGAAAGGTTTTTTGTTTAATATTCTTATCTTAAATAACTTCATCCTGACCTCTCTTTTTTTTTTTCAGCCGCCGTGTCGTGGTGCAGAGAGTTTAAGCGCCTGTTTGACTGTATTCCCTGTGTGGAGGTACAGACACTGAGAGAACACACTGACCAAGTTCTACACTTGGCGTTCTCTCACAGAGGACACAGGTTCTCCTCCTGCTCCAAGGACTGCACTGTTAAGGTTTGGATTGAAGTACCTTGAAGTACCGTATTTTCTGGACTATAAGTCACTTTTTTTTTTTCATCCTTTGGCTGGGTTTGAGACTTATACTCATGTGCGACACATATTAAAATATATAATTTTACAAGTTTGTTATTTTTACACTGACAGCCACTAGAGGGCACTGGTGGAACTTATACTCCTGAATGCTTTATATATGTTTTTTTTCTTCTTCATTTTGCATTTTTTGGTTATATTCCACAGCGCCTTATAGTCCAGAAAATACAGTATTATTGATTATTGACCCATTTAGTTCTGTGAGCATTAGAAGACATTGACTTATGTTTGGAACCTAATTGTCCACAAACTGATTTCCAAACCTCACTCCTGCCCTTCCTGTGAGCAGCTGTGGGACACGCAGCGTCCAGATGGGAACATCGCCGTAGAGCACAGCTGCAGCATGCGGCAGTTCAACTGGGGTTACACTCAGTTCTCTCAGTTCAACGCAGACGACAGCCTGCTGCTGGTGTCTGGGGTTTACCTGGGCCCACACCCCTCCTCCTCGGGGGAAATTGCAGTCCTCAGTCTGGGTAGGACGTCACTTGATTCCACATTTTACATTCCTTCTCTTCCACGTTTTTCCCTCCCTCGAAAGAAATCTTAAGGTTTTCTATTTGCAAACCAAACTCAAAGATGTTTGAACCACGGCTACGGATTGAACTCACGCTGTTTGCATGTCAGAAACTACAAGTTTACAGACGACCCCTGCAGGCAGATTTCTGAATGTCGGTTAGTGGATGATTGACACCTGAGACCAGTGTAAGGCCATAAATCACTCATGCTAATAGTTGCTAATGCAGTAAATAAAGTAAAATGTCTTATATATCTTTAATACAATTTTCTTTTTTATCATTTTACCAATAAGTAAAGAAACAAATTATTATGGTCAACCATAAGGTTATTTATACAGTGATCATCTAAAATATAGATAAGATTTCACTTTCTTCCAGTATGTGATTTACTTAGCGTTACATCGCAGAAAAAACATGTCTGTTGTTCCATAGGCTAAAAGTCTTGAAGTCTTAATTCAACCACTCTCCAAAATAATCTGTCAGTTTTTCCTGTGTTAGATTTACAGACTAATCCTTGAATTAAAATCAAGTGGTCAAAGAATGTGGTTCGTTTCTTTTTTGTCTTTGTAACAGAAAACTACACGTTGTTGTCACGGGTGAGAAATAAGCCGTACGACGTGTTTGGCTGCTGGCTGAATGAAACCCACCTCATCTCTGGGAACCTGCACTGGATCGGCAACATGACGTCGTGCTCCGTGCTGTGGCTCAATAAAGCTTTTCAGGTGAAGGATTTACAGCGACCAGAGTTGAGGAAATATCCTGGTGTTTTATTGACTTTTGTCAATAAAATGATATATGTCCTTACATGAGACGTCCACCCTACACTAGGAGGGGCTATAAACATTAGACTGGAACGATAATATCAGCCAGCTGATATTATCGTTATCGGTTTATCGTCAGACGTTTTAAACTCGATAACCCCATGCCTGGGTATCGTCCAGATGATGTGACCCTAAAAGTAGTTGTGAATTATTGTCAATGTGACACAGACACCACTGAACACAGCAAATGTGTCCTCTGGCTTTTGACCCATACAGCTGCATGTATCGATATTGGTGGATATCAGATTGAGAAATTACTAGGGATGTCCGATAATATCGGTTGGCTGACGTTAGCATAATTATGTAATGTCAGTAAGATCGTTATTGTTTTTTTCTCCGACAATGAATCGCATGTAGTGTCCTGAGACGTTTACCTCAGTTTTGGGGGGCAAACAGCTGCATATATTGGTATCGGTTGATATCGGAATCGGAAATTAAATGTTTGGACAGCATCGGCAAAAAGTTCAAATTGGACATCCCTGTTAAGCACATTTTTAATAGCTGAAGCCGAAGCCTTCCATTCTGTCATCTGTCGTCTGTAATGAGGAGAGGATCGTTATCACCGAAATCCAAAACAGCCGATAGGCATGAATACAGTGAAGTTGAAGTGAATCGATGACTTGTGTCTGTCCTGACCGTCTTTCTGGAACAGGATATCGAATCGGAGAACGTCAACGTGGTCAAACGCCTCTTCAAAATCCAGAACATCAACGCCAGCACCATCCGCACGGTGATGGTGGCCCACTGCCGACGCCATGACAATCCAGATCTGGTGCTGGATTACGAGGCTCAGTCTCAGGCTCAGAGGCAGAAGAATCAACTCAAGCAGCAGCAGCAGCCCCTCCTCTTCGACCTGGGGACATCTGGCAGCGAGGAGGAAGACGAGGAAGACGAGGAGGAGGAGGAGATGAGTCATACGGAGGAAAGGTATCATAACGTCACGACTCCCAGACACCCCAACGCTGGCTTCTCCACCCTGGACCATGTCCTACAGGTGAGTTGGTGTAATACCCACAGGTGTTTGTCTCCTTGTCTTCTTCTGCCCTTTTTCTTTAAAAAAAACCCTTTTCTGTTTCTATTTAATCAAGAACCGTCAGAATGTGGACACCAGGGAGCTGCAGATTGAGACACAGGTGGCCAAGATGATGGGCAGAGCCCGTACGAAGGCCCCCGACTCCAGGCTGACGGAGCCGTGTGAGGACGGAGAGGAGGAAGAGAAAACGTACTTGCTCTTCACCACCGGAAGCCTCACGTACTCCCCTCACCAGATAGGTACGGTGGTCTCTGGGCCGTCAGGTCGCCGGACGTCAACGCACCGGCAGATTACTCCACGTGTGTCTCTCTCCCTCTCAGGTATTAAGCGGATCAAACCGGACCAGATGACGACGTGTGGTCCAGTTCTGGGCGAGGAGCGGAGCTCAGAGGAGTTCTTTGATTCCCTGGACCATGTCATCGATATCCACGGACATATCATTGGGATGGGCCTCTCTCCAGACCACAGGCAAGACGTCTCACACAGAAAATAAATCAAAAAAAGCTTCTTCAAGTTAAATGTTGTTGTAAGTTTTGTCAAGAACAGTGTGATTGACAGGTGTCTGAACCAATGTTCAAACTCTACAGCGTGGACTTGACGGGCCACATTTGGCCCGCGGGCCTTGAGTTTGACACGTGCTCTGAGGCGACCGTGTATGACTGTTAACAGAAAATGAAGCTAGCTTAAGTCGTCATCTGGATGTTTGTTTTTGTTTTTTCAGCAACATTTTAAATGTAAATGTAAGAAGAAGCTAACTTGTAGTGTATCGTGTCGCAGGATCCGCACACTTTTCTAGTGCGATAACTGGAACAAAATATCTGGGATCTGTATCAGGAGTTGTTAGCCTTTTTGGTTTGGTTTAATTTCAGTTGAATAATAATCTAAATCCACTTGTAGGTGAGTTTCTCACAGGTCACACATCTTTGATGGCTTCAGTTAATAACCTATGCAGTCCTACAGCCCACAGCTGCAAATCTGAAAGTTTTTTGCGGCCCTCAAGGTGGCGCTGGCGTCCCAACTTTGGTCCGTGTCCCTATTGTTGAGAGTCACTGATCTATATCTCTGCACCCCTCGTTCATTTCCAGGTACCTCTACGTGAACAGCCGGGCCTGGCCTGCTGGATGCGTGATCTCTGACCCCATGTCTCCGCCTCCCATCGCCGAGGAGATCGACCTGCACGTCATCGATCTGAA